CTGCTGATAATTGCTATATCCATCACCCTTTTTCATTCTAGAAAGTAAAATGTTTTTAACTGGCATATAAACCTCTCTAGAGTAGATAAGGAAAAGTAGTCTACACCCCAATGCAGTTACTCTTACACAAGAAATGCACTTATACTGTACGAATGCAGCCACACTATGACCTGAATAAATATGACTACAAGCACTTTAAATCTAAATATTTTAACAGATATAGTTACATATTGCTCACACATGTAGAGTAAATGCAAACCCTAGGCATTAAAGCACAGTTAAAAGAAGTCATTGGTTAGTGGGCTGCTGCCTGTTTGCACCTTAGTACGTTCACTTTCCTGATTTGAGGAATACACTGCTTTAGACAACTCTCATTGGAGTCAGCAAGAGTTTTACTAAAGATTCAGATGGATTTCTTCTTCCTCCAGGTCCTTCTGCAGTCTTGAGAGCAATCTATCCCTCACTACTACAAAGACACTGGAAGATATATGGTAAGTTATTAGATTCAAACATATATTGCAAAAGTATGAAGACTCCCAGAATATTTCAAAAGGACACTAATTAGTTTTCTAGATTATAAATGCTCCCTAAAGAATGAGACTATGCAAGAGGATATAAGATACATTTAAGAACTCACTATGACTGACAATGAAGAAGGACCTGCATTGTCACTCCCCAGTACTTTCCTCAGTGAGGAAAAAAAAAACCCAAGTCCTGAGAAAATGGTTAAACCAATTTTTTTTTTCCAGTTTAGGAAGTTAATCTGTTTTACCATGCAAATAGTTGATTTTAAGACTATCAGAGAAGGACTTGCTCATTTAATTGGTAGCAGCTTGACCAAAACCTCTTGTTTTTGACAGGAATAACTATAAAATTTTAATGTCTCTTTATTGCTAGAAAAAAATCCAGATCTCCTGATGGCCAGCAGTCTACTGCCTTACTCTTTGAAGGACATCCACACCATTTACATATTTGTCTGAATGGTGGCCTTTTCTATCCCCAACTTTTCAATGTATTATTCTTATATGCTCAACATACGATAGAAGAAAATCACTAGTATCAGATGTTGATGGACACAGGAATACCTAAGCAACACTCCAAAAGCCACGTTAGAAACTGACTGGAATTATGATCTGCCAGTTGCAGTCCATATACAGTCTCATGAAAAGAATTTAATTTTTGGGCAAGAGTAGGCATTCCAAATCCCAAAGCTGCTGGGTAGATTACTCGCAGCTTTCCGACTTCCACACCAGTCAAATCATCCTCTGCATAGTGCTGACACCAGACCACCTTTGTGGTATGAACACAATAGAGTTCTCATCATGTTTCTGAAATTAAATGATACTTTCAGAAAATACTGAATTAATTTAAACTTCACTGCACCCATTTTTTTTTTAATTTACTTTTAGCACTGAAGCAGCACTCTCAACAAAAATACACCAACTAGCTGGAAGAAAGCAGGAAGAACTGCAAGGTACCACATTAATATAACATGAAACTATGTACTTTACTGTCTGTTTTCTCATTAAATTCCTAAATGGAAGTGCAGGAGGTTTCTACATTTTTGTTTAAGTTCTTGCTCTTCCAAGCTAAGTCATTTGCATTTTCCCACCATTTCACTAAGCATGAACTTTGAAATATTATCTAAGGTTGTACTGAGATTGCTCTGATCTCCTACTACTCTGTGTCTGATCTACTTTTACTAGCATAAACTTAATCACATGTCTATCCAGTGAGATTCACCACTCGGAGGAATACTAATTCACTGAGAAAAGACTACTTTGATCAGATCAGTTTTTCAGTAGCTCTGTAAGCTCATGCAACACAATACACAACTGGTAGAGCTGGTACAATGAAGTAGACAAAAATATCATGTTTCCACGTTGGACATTCACATATGAACTCCTGTTTCAGTAAGGGAAAAGAATTAAAATTAAATCAACCATGAAAGTACCCTCTGAGATGGGACTCTGCTTTTGTCGTCTTAAAGACTTGCTAAGACACAGCTATATTTCATTGGGCATTACATAAAGCTACAGGACATGGAGCCAGGAGTCACCAGGAGATTGAGTGTGACTCAGAATAGTGATCTGCTCCAAGTCATGCATGTCGGAAAGGAGATTGAAGGGAAGAGAGTGGTACTTAGAGACAGGAGGCCAAAGACACCAAAGAGAATAAAGTAGCAAAACTATTTCATATAAGAAATGAACCTGTGGAATTTTGTGCACTAGAATTTGTCATCCATGAGGCAGAAGCAGTTTTAAGGGATGTCCAAAAGATCATCTTTAAGTGATTGTGTTTTTGAATAAACTGCCACTTCTCTTGCTTTTTCTGGGATTCAGAAGAAAAATTATTGCAATACATTCCAATTAACTCCCCTTGATGTAATAAAGGAGTGCACTGGAATAACACAACCTGCTGCACCCTATAAATTCTTATTACAAATGCAAAGCATGTTTGGCACCTAATACAATCCTGAGTACCCAGAGTCCTGTCACAGATGTGAAATAAATCATATAAAATATTTCTAGATATTAATAGCTTGAAATCTTATTTAAAGTTATTCTTTAACTTTTTTAGTATCTCTGCTTTCATAAAATTCATAAACAATCAGTCACTACAGACTGATGCACATCAATAACAAAATCACGTTCCATCTCCTTACCTGTACAGGCATAGCCCAAAGGTTCGGGCAGAGGAAAAAGAACCACATCAGCTGATTTGTGTCTATGGCAACCAGGTTGCAGATCTGGCCTGCAGTCATCTCACCCATGGACATGTTGGAAGTTGAAAGTTGCATAATTTTATTGTATATTTTTGTCTGGAAGAGAGATCAAAAGGTGTAAGATTGCTAGCTCCATCTAAAACACAGGTGTAGTCCAGCATTCTGAGGGAAACCAACATTCCTAGTAACTTCAATGAAGAACTTAAAGTTTGGCCATTTATTTTATGTCGAAAAATTTTACGCTACTATCTTACTGTTCACCCACAAAAAGCAGAGTGCAATAAAGTGCATAAAGAGTGTCTAAGTACTCCATTTTTGCATCCCTGTGGATCAGTAAGAGAATGAAAACCTTACCGACCAAAATGCCCAGGAACCACATTAGCGTCTATGATTTATACCCCCAGCTTCTCCATGGAGTGCTAATAAAATGCTATATTCATTCAATATATAATACTCAATATGTTACAATCCTGCTTATTTTTCTCTGACAACTGATTCAGGTCCCATCCAACCTCAGAACCATGTTCCTGGCTGAGAATATTGCTATATTTTGCCTAAAGAGCTCAGTCTCTGAGTGTCTAATTCACAGATAACTAATGTAACAGGTCCAATTCTGTAACAAAGTAACTAGTTGCCTCAGTGCAGAATCAGGCACCACATATAAAAATACACAATAATGAAAGTGTACTTTCACCGTCCAGTTTGGTAAAAGGTTGCACAGTGATGCTTGCAGTCAGGAGGCACCTGGATTCAATAAGCGCCTTTGGATCTAGTGCCAACTGTCCATCATGAAGCA